TTGTTTTACTTCCAAACTGTAAATAATTTGCAACAAAAGACTTAGTTGTTGCGTCTTCCTGAAACTGTCGTTTGTGGCTAACTGCTCTGCCATTTACGTTCGGGTGGTTGCCATTTTTCTTTAGTGTAAGTAAATGAGACTACTTAATATTATCCAGTAGACAGGTTGTGTGTATTACATTTTCTCTGCTGTGGTTGGATGACGTCCTCCATTCAGGTTACTAGACGTGCTCTTCTTATTGCACTTTTAAGCACAATCAAGAGCCTTCGCAGGCCATTGCACAGCAACCATCAATGATGCAAAGACAAGGGCAACCGAAAGGTTCATTTAAGGCTCATTGGCTGACTGTATCTGTTCGGTAAGAGGGGCACTATTTGGATTCCACGTCCAGCTGTTTCTTGCCTCAGATAGAAAATGTTCTGGCTCTATATCGTTGGACGTTAGCTTAATTAACTGCCTATGTGTTTGGAGAATAAAGTGCACTATCAAATATTACCCGAATGAAGCAAAACTTAGGGGAGATCTCAGATGCTGAGCAACGAGGACTGTTTGTTGAGGAGTTCAGAATTGATCTAAGCTCGGTTTAATTAGTCAGTTATGCTGTGTTGTTTTTTCCCGAACTGTTCTCTCTGTTGCAAAAACTTTCTTCTTCCTAATTTACCCTATAAGAGTGAATCTTTAGTGGTATATGTGTTTTAAGCTATCCATCTTGCCAGTCTAAAATTTTCATGCGTAACCAAATTCAGTATATAATCTATTTTGCTGTCAAGCAGCTGTGTGTTCGACCATCGATTTCGATTAAGTCTACCAGTGAACCAACACGTTTGTACAGGTTACAGTCTCAGGGGGCAGGCTATAGGGATAGCGGACATAGTTAGCGCCAACCGCACTCTTCACCTTCGCCGGGGCCAAAAAGACCAAGCGGGACCCGGCGTTGGCCACTTTCTCTAATGTAAGCCAGAAACACCGCTAACAAATCAGCCAACAAACTTAAGAAGCACAAACTTTAAAACGCCGTAACCTCGAACGTTGTACTGGAGAAGACCCGTCCCTGTGGATTTTAATTAATATCCAGGTGGGCGTATTTATTCCCTTGGGCCAAAGTAGCCTATGTAGGCCCACTCATATACCCTATTGCCAGCATTTCATCCTGCAAAAACGGTGGTTATAGAGTTTTGTGAGGTGGGGAAATATGATAAGCAGAGAAGGAAAGTTTTGGAGGTAAGTTTAAAGTGAAAAAAATGTAGTCGAATTTGCTTCCCGCGGCCGCTGGGAGTAAGATCCGCATGTAAATTGAAGGTGTGCGCGGCGCTTCGCGCCGCGGACTATACCACGTGAAAAAATGTAGTCGAAGTTGCTTCCCGCGGCCGCTGGGAGCAGGTTGTTCACGCATGTAAATTGAAGGTGTGTGCGACAATTCGCGCAGCGGACAATACTAATCTAACTCCAGAACGGTAAGTTGGACCTCAGGTAAGTT